ACCGAGCTAGGACTTAGGGAGCTCGGGTTTTAGGGAGCTGGGACCTTTAACAGGGAGTTCGCTTTTAACAAGGAGCTCGGACTAAACACAGCGATTTGGAGTTGGGGTTCAGTAGTGAGTTTTGACTTGCTTCCGATGTTCGCTTTGGGTGCTCTACTGTCCTGAGCTGCTTGCCTTTGCCACGCGTCGGGCGAACGCGAGGTCGGGCCAAATTTCCCTTCATCAGCTATGGTTATTGATAGTGCGCAATCCGGCCGGTCCTACCTGTCAACGATCTTGTCTCGGGCTGGAGCAAAAGGTGTCTGAAACGGAGGAAAATGCGAGTAATCTCCGGGGAAGAACCCGGTGAGAATGCTCCGAAGCTCAAATTAGTATTTTCTCAAAGGCAAGATAAAACCAGATGGCGCAAAGTTATCACATACCTCTTTCTTGAGGGGGAAGGGAGCCTTTTATAACCACTTCGCGTACTCACTCCCAAGCTCTTGTCAGGTCGGGTATCATTACCTCTGCACTTCTGCCAGTTCGGATGTCATTTCCTCTGGCCGGACAGAACCGNTGGGGCAGACAACCACCACTGCTCTCTTTGTCGGAGCCGTCTCTGTGACTGGAGGTGGCGGTGGCAGGTGGCCGTTGAAGTGCGGTTGTTCAGTGTCAGATCCTAAGTCAGTCAGGTGAGCCGCCTCAGGATACAGACTCCTTTGGTGTCAGGTCAGGTACGGTTGTTCAATTTGGCGTTTTGGAGGCGAAGTGCTGAAGTGGTGTGCGAGGTGACGTCTTGAGTTTGGATAGAGGTGTGGCCCGAATTGCCCTGGGGCAGGCCAGTTCGGGTTGTTGCCCTTTGTGCTCCTCGTAAGGCCCGGGTTCAAAGGGAGAGTTCGGGCTCCTTGTGGGGAGTTCGGACCGCTGGTTCCTCCTTTCGGAGCTCGCGCCTTGGGCGTACTGTCATGCCGAGCTGTTGCCTTTGCCACATGTTGAGTGGTTACGAGGTTGGGCCAAATCTTCCTTCATCAGTTATCTCAGCTGGCAAGAAGTTGGAGGCAAACATATCGTCAGAAGTCCCATTGTGGCTCGTGGATGTATTGATGTAGATGATGATTGAGGGAGTATTGTCGGAGTGGACTCTTCATCCTTTGTTCTAGCTAGTATCGTCTTTTGCTTCTTTGTCAATGAAATAAGGATGAGACTATAGGAATGTGTAATTAAGTGAAGAAATTCTCTAAGTCCGATTTAGTTGGAGCATGTTGCAGTGGGTCCGGATGTAGTAGGCACGTTAGGAAAGCAGAATGAGTGAGCATGTAATAGCTGTGTGACACATGTCCCAGTTAATGTGCCTTTAATTCAAATGTTTTTGCTTCGTTAGACAAAAATTATTCATTATTTTATTATCTTTGTCAAAATAATTAACAATAAACAAACAATGAAAAAGGAAAACATAAATGAGTCCCAACTCCCAACACGTTTAGGTTTTCCTTTTTCATTATTTTTATTTTTAATTATTTTGACAAAGATAATAAAACAATGGATAATTTATGTCTAATGGAGCCAAAACATTTGAATGAAAGGCATATTAACTGGAATGTGCGTCACACAGCTATTACATGCTCACTCATTGTGCTTATCTAATGTGCCTACTACATCGAACCCTGCTGGCCATGAATTTTGAGGAATATCATAGTATCATACAGTTTTTTCTTTATTGCATGCTACCCCAATGATAAAATACAAGGGGGATTAAGAGGGTGGGGACAAAATATATAGGGTGCCGAGAAGGGTGCATTATGTGAGATCCTCCGACGTTATCACGAAGCAAGCTAAGCGTGCAAAGTGACAATCTTAATTAGTAAGTTACAAGTTTAGGCTGAAGGTCCAAGTCCTGATCCAAATTAAGCTCAACATACATACTAGATTGAGTTCAAGCTGGGCATGGTCCCCAACACCATAGGCCAATTTGGGGGCTTAGTAAACTCTATAATAGATGGCATGCATGCATGTGTCGGTTGATACATAGAAGGATAGATAGATCCATCGCAAGATGCATAGATCATATGGATATTTAGCTTGAGAGTTGGTCTTGGATGATGACCTGTAAGAGTTTTACCTTTGGTCAGGTCTTGCCAAATCTTTCAATGACTAACTTGTTACGGGGTCATATATTTTTTCTCTTAATCTGTTCAACTTTGAAGCTACATATATAATAAATAATTTCTAATATAAAGTTTTTTTGAAAATCAAATTTTTTTCTTTTTTATTGGCCACTGCCTAGGAAATACAAAAGCCTTAAGCTAATACAAGATCTGTCACACCATTGTGCAAATGAAACATAGAAATGTCTCTCCACTGCTATCTTTTCATTTAGGCCCCGTTCTTTTTTCGGTAAATTACTTATCTAGGTAAATGCAATTACATAGGTAAGTTTTTCTTGGGAAACACTTATCCGGGTAAGTGCATTTATCCATGTTCTTTTATTTCCTATGCAAATAAGGTAATGACCATTTTAGTTATAAAAATCCATTATTAAAAGGGGCATTTTTGTCTTATTCAAGTCTTACCAACTTTCCCCCTAGGTGGGAAAGTTATTTATCCACCTAGGAGATGGGTATCACTTACTCGGGTTAATGATACCTAGGAAAGGTAAGTGATACCCAGGAAAATAAACTTTCCCAAGTCCCCACATAAATTTAAAAAATGAACATGGGATTCTTGTTCAATGGGAACCAAAATCCCATTGACCAATTTTACCCTCTCTCAAAATCCAAAAAAAGAACGCCCCCTTACATGGATGTATATTTAATCCATAACCTCATAAAAAAAACTAAATATAACAAAGCTGTGGCAAAAGAACAACATACACAAACCACTCAAAGAATACAGAAGTTTAATGTGGTTTGGTACTAAGACCTACTCCATAAGAGGTAATCCCCAATTTTGTCACAAGGGGAGACTACCATGGTTTCACTCTTTTAAAGAGAAAACAAGTACAAGAAAGGAAATAAATCTCATGACAATATTTTCATAATACAAGAAATATTCAACTTCCAAGAATAACAAGATTGCTCCATAAATGATAAGGAACATTGGTAATTAGGCCAATTGTTCAACACTCCCCCTCAAGTTGAGGCTAAAAATATCTATGGAGCCCAATGATTTTGGCTTTAGTAAAGATATCTGCAAGTTGCTCTCTACTTCGAACATAAGGAGTTTTAATGATTTTTAGTAAAGATATCTGCAAGTTGCTCTCTACTTCGAACATAAGGAGTCTCAATGATTTTGGCTTGAATTTTCTCTCAAATGAAATTACAATCGACCTCAATGTGTTTTGTTCTTTCATGGAAAACTGGATTAGTGGCTATGTGTATAGCTATTTGATTGTCACAAAACATCTTCATAGGCTTCTCAGATGCAATCCCTAAATCATTAAGAAGATATTGCAACCAAATTAATTTAGTAACCATTGAGGCCATATGTCTATATTCAGCTTCTGCGCTTGAGTGAGATACAACATTTTGTTTTTTGCTTTTCTATATAACAAGGTTTCCCCCAACAAGTGTACTATATCCTAAGGTAAAC